CCTACCCACTTTGATGCATTTTTCAAATTTCACCTTGGGGCGGAGTTATCTTTTCACAGGGGGGGTAAGATACACTTTAATTACCACAGAACCCCTCCACCTTATAGAAGAACCCTTCTACCTTAYAGAACCCTCCACCCCACAGAGCCCATGCATCTCTGTAAACAGTTTAAACTTTTTCAATGAAATCATCTCCAAAGTCGATGATTCTCCTCAGAGCGCTCAGGATCAGGATGTCCATGTCGTTCTTCAGCTCGATCTCTTCGCTGTAGTTCTTCACAGGAAACACACAGTTTATGGGGATTCCCACTGCAGCGCTGAAGTCTTTCATCTGAGGGTTAAAAAGCAGAGCAGTCAGAGGTAAACCTGCTGACGTCAGGTTCATACCTCATAGCTCTGCACACTCACCTTTTTCCTCAGGTGTTTGCTCCGGTACACCTTCCTCAGGTCTTTCTCTGTTTCAGGACAGGCCCCATCACTGTTGGTCAGAATGGCCATCTGGGGWATTCCTGCAGACACATCAGGCTGTGGATCAGTGCTTGGAGCTTCCTTTAAAGAGTTGTCGGTTTGATTCCTCCAGCATGCAGGGACATGTCAGAGTGTTCCTGAGTAAGACCCTGAACCCCTTGCCGCCTCATGTGCTCCATCCATGACTGAATGAGGTCTAAGCTGATAGAAGGATTTATTCAGAAACATCTAAAYACTGATCAGTTCAAACTGTCTCACAAACATCTGTGATTGGTTCAGAGACCTGKTGAAACCCCAAGTTCAGCCTCCTCCTGGAGACACTTTATAAATCAGACCTTAGATGGAACCTTCTGGGACTTTTGACAGACACACCTGGTCTTCAGTGTCCTCCACACTGGATCCTCTCCTCCATCTCCCAGAATCCTCCTCTGTAGAGCCTCCATCACTGCATCCATCAACCTTCTCTGTGCTCTTCTCCATGGACAGTATTGTTTGTCCAATGGGTCCACTGTCCCTCCTCTGGACATGTCCAAACCATCTCAACCTCACCTCAAACTTTGTCTCTGAGCTGTCCCTCTGATGGACTGGTTTCTAATCCTGTCCATTGGGGTCTTCTCTGCTAAGCCTTCTCTAAACCTTCTAACCCAGACCAGCTCCAGCTTTTCCTCATGTCTTTTTGTCAGGAACACCATCTTCAACCCGTCACAGCAGGTCTCACTTCCACCCAGAGAACCCCAGACTTTCATGTCTCCACCTCTCCAGGCTGTCTTCCACCTGCTCCCTACTCTCACTACAGAGGTCATCAAAGTCAATGAGGACTCCTGCCAGACCTCGTCAGTCCCTGATGTAGCCCCACCTTGAACCCAACTGTCGGTCCTACTACACATCTTACCACTGTCTCAGTCCTTGGACATGTCCTGTCCTACCCTCACACACTTCACCTCCACATGTGACCTCCTCACACAGAACCACAGTTCCTCTCTTGGTCCCTGATCATCTGCAGCTCCTCCTGACCTCCTCTGGTCCTCAACCCTCTCTGCTGCTCACTGATGTCCTCATGTTAAAATAAATAAATGCAGGCCTGACTAAAGGGCTGCAGATAGTTGGTTTGATGTTCTGAATGAGAGATCTAAGACCTCTGGTCTTACCCAGGTCACTAGCCTTTTCTCTGATGCTGTTCATCTTCTGCAGAACTGATGAATTAATTTGAGGAGAGTTGGCAGAAATCACACAGACAAGAACATGAACTCTGTCATCTGCAGAAGGATCAGGGTTGTAGCCTGGATCACCTTCAGAAACTGGGCAGACTGGGTTGAACTGGAAACCAGTGAAAAGTACAGTGAAAYAATGACACAGGTACACAACCATAAATAACAMAAACACATTAATAATCACAACGAAAAGCTTGTCAAAGTCAAAATATCTTCAGCTGTTTGAGACAAWACATGTCTGAAAGTTTGGTTTCACAAAAATAAAACATGAGCTGTTCTACAGAATCACCCCCAGATCCTGGACTGGGTTAGGACATCACCCCTGCAGGATACTCCACCCTCTTCAGGAGTTAATAATGATAATAATAATAATAATAAATGTATATACGATATAAATGCTTTTTGAGACCCTCAGATATGCTTTACATTTTATGCATCATTCATTCACACACTGATAATAGTAAACTACACTGACAGAGGGTGGGCTGCCATACTGCACCACCGGACCCTCTGACCACCRCCAGTAGGCAAGGCAGTTAAAGTGTCTTGCCCAAGGACACAATAATCTGAGACAATTGGAACGATGGATCAAACCAGCAACCCTCTGGTTTCAGGACGACTCCTCTAACCTCGTACCTGATGAGTTGGGTACCAGAGGACCAACCTGCATGTGGAGATGAGCCAGCTGTCTCCAGCTGGTACCACTCAGACTCAAGCTCCAACTGTTTCCTATTGGTGAGGAGACATTCTTCATACAAAGAGACAGTTTATGTCTCCAGGTTTCAATCTGCCCTGTCCTCATTTGTYACATGGCTCAACTCAAGAGCTTCTGGAGCTTTGGAGGTTTCCCTGGTGGAAACAGGATTACCCCAGGAGGTAAGGGTYAGACTGTTGTTAGTGTTTATGGACAAACAGGATTGTCTGCCCTTCTTGAAGCTGCTAGATGGTATCCTAAATGGGTGTTGTCTGAGRATTTGGAKACTTTAAAACCCATGAGGGCAATGACGGAGTTATCAGGAGAGGAGTGACTGGGAAGAACCATGTCCCTGATCTGAACCAGGACTGGGTTTTGTAAATAAAATCCTGCAGTCTCAGGTAGTCAATCTAACTGGTCCTAATCTTGGTGAAACATGTACCTTGTAGCCTTCCTTGATATGACCTTTCAAGGCCAGGTGGATGTCCTCAGCAAGAACCCCACTGTTTGTCCCATCCTCCAGACCCATGATGTCATTGAAGACCAGAGGGTAGAACGTCCTGGAGCTTCCATGTCCTTTAATGAACTTATGAGTTTCATACTGGAACACAAAGAAACACATTGATGTGGTTAACCTAACCTGAGAAAACATGATATATTACAGTAGCATGACTATTTACACTGCTTTTGCTTTCACATTTTTAARCATTTAGTTTAATAAAASAACATTTTGAAGTTGGATGAAAGAAGCCAAACTGCAATCCCATCATTGACATGAATATTCYATCATTTAGAGCAGCTTTCTATAAAATCAGATCTAACTGGCTTTACATTCTGTCCACTTGGAGCACATTCTGTAGAAGATATCCCTCTGTACTTTGAGACATGAAGACAGATTTCTATTGTGTAGATCTATTGTACAATATTCATCAGTCTTCAGCTGTAGGTGGTTCAGGTTTGAGTCATCTCTTTGTGAGTTTCTTTTTACTTGCACCCAGTAGGATCTACAAAAGTTTCAGTTTATCCCCTGGTATGTTGTRAAACATGTTTTCAAAGGAAGAAAGGATTCTGTATAAGTTCATTCAAGACTGACTGATGGATGACTTGACAATCCCAAACAACATGAAACTGATCGGCCTCATCTCAACAAGTACCTCCCATTCTCTGATCTCTTCTGAACAGGGGTAATGAAAAACCTCTTTATGCTTTTCCAGTAAAGCTCAAGCCAAACGTTTGATCTTGTTGTACCCGACTGTATCCCACATAGTTTGTGCTCCCAACATAATTCAAAGCTCCAGATCCCTCCTCACCTTTCTGAACTGTGGGAAGAATAAGAGATGTTTGAAACACACACTGTTCATTATCAGATAGATGTGTTTCCTGCATTAAAACAAAAAACTGACCTATCRATTCATTATGCACCATAAACCAAACATATTCATCTTAAGTAGCAAAAACAGACACAATGTTTAGCCTTATTTCAACAGATGATTGTTGGGGTTAAATCACAGTGCAGTAGCAGTTCTCCAGTGGCAGCCTCTTAGTGAGTGGCACTTGGCATTAGCCAGAAAGTTGGAATTGTTTTCAGAGCTTTGAATCAAACTTTGCATTGTGTTAATGGGTTAGGTTTTCAATTGTGTAGGCTTCCCTGTGAGCTYATTCACAGAGCAGCCATCACAATGATGTTCAAACCTGAAGTCACAAGTTGTTGTTTTAAACAATTAAAGCCTCACAGGACCAGRACTAGCTGAACCAGGACCAGAACCAGCTGACAAGAAACAGGAAGAAGCTCAGGACTGCTTCTGTCTTCCAAATTAACTGGTGATTGTTTAATGTCAAACATGTAAAAATGACTCCTCTTGTTGAGATGAACTGACCTGAACGTTTTCTCACCTTCTTGGTGAAGCTTSTGTCAGAGGTGGTTGAACTGACCAAAGCAGGAATGCTCATACGTTCTCGAATGATGCTGCCGACAGAGTCAATGAAACTGGACTTTCCTGCTCCAACAGGTCCGTAGAGCAGAACTCGAAGGTACTGGATGTCAGGTTTTGCAGGTTTGTAGTCCTGCACATACTGAAGCTCCTTTTGTCTGTTTCTGAGAACAGATGAAAGCTGATTGGTTGGTTTTATTCTCTTTTAAACTAAAGACATGAACATGTTCACAGCAGGTTCAGTCTAACAGAACAACACAACTCAAACAATGAATACGATGGAAACCAACAACCAATAAAACTCTGTGAAACCAATCAGCCCACCCTGTGGTCTACAGACCAATCAGAGCCCACCCTGTGGTCTACAGACCAATCAGAGCCCACCCTGTGGTCTACAGACCAATCAGAGACTACCCTGTGGTCTACGGACCAATCAGAGCCCACCCTTTGGTCTACAGACCAATGAGAGCCCACCCTGTGGTCTACAGACCAATCAGAGCCCACCCTGTGGTCTACAGACCAGTCAGAGCCCACCCTGTGGTCTACAGACCAATCAAAGCCCACTCTGTGGTCTCCAGTAACACATACTGAACAACAAGCTGTTACATTTAGTTGTGGTAAATCAGACAGAAGCTGACCAGGATCTCCTCTCAGTTTCTTCTGTTTGATGTTTTTATGTTTCTGTCTGAATAATTCTTGACACTAAGTTTACTTCCTGCTCATTCAGTCCCTTTGGACCAACCAGCAGAACCTGCTTCCTTTACTGTCTGACACCAACAAACCAGCTGCTGTGATCTGTCTGAAGGGTCTGAATATCAGGGTCTTCCAGGAGACTCACCCCCAGTCCASGTCTCTCCAGGGCTGGCCCAGAACTGCACAGAAACTTTAGTTATTGTTGTGTAAAAACAGCTCCATGATGTTCAGAGATAAAGTGAATGTCTTACGTGGAAATTCTGGAGTCGGAKCTTCTGTGAAGAAAAACACAGAGTTTCATTAAAGGCCTGAAACAGAGTTAAAAACTGTTCATGATGAAAAGTTTCCTCATGTTCAGTTAAAGCTGAGCTCAGACCAGTTCTGAGATTTCAGCAAGAATAAAAGTTAAAGAAGAAGAGTGAGTTTACAACACTACAACAAGACAACACTACAACACTACAACACTACAACAAGACAACACTACAACACTACAACACTACAACAAGACAACACTACAACACTACAACACTACAACAAGACAAGAGTGTGACTTTCTGACATCAGTCAGGTGTTTGGATGTTCTGACTCACCTGCAGGATGAGGAAACCCAAAAAACTCCTTAATCACTCTGACTAAAGACAGAAAATATAAAGCAGATCAGTATGAACACTGCTGGTTAAACAAATCATTCTTAATCTAAATGTTTGCAAAAACTGAACATAAAAGAGTTAAATCAAAGAATAAACRCAGATCTGATTCTGAATTTAGATAATAAATTTTAAAAAATCTGTCCAGATTCCACCAYAAATTCACTTCATAAATTGTTGCAAACATTTTACTGAATCACTTTTAAAACCTTACCTAATCTTTGGTAATCATCCATCTCTGTGTTGCTGCTCTGCTGCAAAATGAAACAAAGTCCTGAGTCTGAGTCTGAAATAAGACCTGCTGCTGCTCCTGTGGGTCACATGACTTCAGAGAAACCATCAGCTCACACTTTCACTTTACCTCTGAAGGAGAGTCAGACTGCCTCCCTCTGAAAGTGAAGGTAAGTCCTGTTGTTTCAGAGAAGCTGCAGAGTTACTGTAAATCATGTGAGCAGAGTGGGCGGAGCCTGTTTCTATAAAGACTCTGTGACTCAGAGGGGCTCTGCAGATCAGACSTGTGGAAACATCAGCAGGTAAGCTCCTGTTCTTCATGTTCTTCATGTTGTCTCTGTCTCAGACTCAGCTTCAGAAAARAAATGAACTTCAGCTGAAGGTGGTGAGCTGAACGTCCTGGGGTCACCTGGGGTCAACCACTTCCTGGTTCAGACCGTCCAGGACCCAGCTGTGACCTGACGTCTGTCCTGTCTTCACAGATACCAACATGTCTGAGCCTTCAGGTGAAAACATGGACAYATCAGAGAACTCTGACCAATCAGAACACAACACACCTGCACAGGTAYGTTAATGACAGGTGGTCATGTGATCAGAGTGATGAGGTCATCAGGGCCAGGTTCTTTATCTGAGAACTGCAGAGACAGAAGATCTAAACTCAGGTTCACTGAAGAGAAAAACAAAAAATAATGGATGGATGGATGGATGGATGGATGGATGGATGGATGGATGGATGGATGACTTCCTGTCTGCAGGATGAATAAAATGTTCAGGTTCAGTTTTGGCCTCAGATGTTCGTCTCTTCAGCCTCCAGAGGAGCAGAAACCTGTGAAGTGTCCAAAGTGTAACGAGGAAATCGTTCTTTCCTACAACATGAAGTCAGAAGATCTGAGAGGAAACTTCATCAGACTGACTCAGTCCAGCTGCTCCTCTGCTGCTTCTACCAGGTCACAACAGGTGAGACTACATCTGGACCCTCTGGTCCTGGTCCTGACTCACAGGACAATATGTGTTCTGTTAAAACCATTCTCAACCAGAGAGTTGGTGGTTTGATTCCACTGCTATTCAGTCACAGGTTGAAGTGTCCCTGGGCAAGGCACTGACCCCCCCACCCCCACCTCTGATGTGTCCCATCAGTGTTTGACTGGTTTAAAGCTGACTGGTCTCTGTAGGATGATCTGTATGTTAGCTCTGTAGTGAGATCTGTGACGTTATACAGAACTGTGTGTGTGTGTGTGAATGTGTGAGTGTGTGAGTGTGTGAGTGTGTGAATGTGTGAATGTGTGAGTGTGTGAGTGTGAGTGTGTGAGTGTGTGAGTGTGTGAATGTGTGAATG